GTGTCTATACTCCAATGACCGGGTGCTCGTCCCCGAGATCCCATCAACACATCAAACATAAATTTTGTTTGAATCAAACCAGGAGGCGTGAAAGAGAATCTTGGCAGCCAAGTGAGTTCAGGGAGCGATGTCCTGGATGTGGCCAGGGGACAGGGTGACCAGATTTCCAGGTGAGCGCTATACCTGCATCAAGCGATACTGGGCTACTTTAAAAGGGTTGAATGGAACCTTTGACTCTCAAATACAATCTCTCTCTGGAGGGGAAAAAACCCTTCGACGAGTCCACTACAAAGACGGTGTTGTTTTTCTGACACAAATGCACTTGTGCGGAAATGCTGTTTTGCTCAACTATTGAGAAGACACAAAGAGTGACCTCGGATATGGGTGTGGGGTGTGCTGGGTGGGAGAGACCCTATGAAAGGCACCCACAAACCTGTTTTATGAGGGAGCGTAGGCCAAAGTTTGGCTATGACTGGGAGTAAATTGGGAAAAACTATGAGTTTGGCTATAAGAAAATCTGCGGTTTTCATTATCTGGTATGGCAGTGTGTTCTAATGACACTAAAGCCACCAGAAATAGAGCAGTTCCATCGAGGATTACTAAAAAGAGCAATCAGTTCTCACCAGACAACACAGACACCCCAAAGAAAACCGGGCTTTCCACAGACATTAAATAACCACCATGGCCCTGAGACAGAAAAGAGAAGTCAAGTAAAACATTTTACCAAGGTCCAGAGCTGAAATCACTCAGCAGCACATGACTGCAATGCTGGGAGCAATGATGCGTTTTTTTGGGGTTTTTTTTTTACATACTAAATAATTGAAAGGGGCCATGTGACTCTTAGCAAGCAGAAGGATGCACTTTCCCAGGAAAGTTCATCACTAAATATATTATTGAAGACTCGATCATCTTCTGGCTATTTTTAATCCTGTCACTTTGCTGCCAAAATTGACCATAAGTGGCTGCTCCTCAGCCAGTAGAAGGGATGATGCCCTTTCTCAAGTACTTGGTGCACTCACTAGACCCTGGTACTGCTTTCCAGTTAATCACACGTTTTGCTGGAGGTGGACAACGTACCACGGACAGAAAAGAGAAACTAGGCTCTGACCAAATAAAAAGGAAGCTAACCTCGACTGGATGTGGACAAGTTCCTCTCTTCCTAAACCACAAAGACCAAAAGACAAAAAAAGGTCGGACCACCTTCTTCTCAACAGAATGAAGCCAATCTCCTGCTGGAGACGGCGCATTCTGCCTCCACATTCTCCACCTCATTGTCGTCTAAGATTGAAACTGAACATTGTCACATTTCTCTGTCTGGAGAGTTCTATCAATTTTCGCTCCCCACCAACTTGCCCAGGTCCCAACCCTTTGCACGCAAGCACTGCTTTGACTTGAAAGCAGTCTTAGGGCCGCTAAACTCATCTCCAGAATTTAAACTGTATTTAAGGGGGTAAAATAATAACCAAGAGAGGGACCTCCCTGGTGGCATAAGGGTTAAGTTAAGTCTCAGCACTATGAAGCTCTCTGCAGCCACTGCAGCACCAGTTCGATCCCCGGCCAGGGAGCTACCCACATGGTGCAGCAGACCTCTCCTGACTCATCCACTGCTCCCCTCAGCAGTGTGTTTCAGTCAATCCACCTGTTCTGCTCCCCACTCTGTCTCTAGTGTATCCTCTCACCCCCACAACTCTGGCCTGCACCCCAGTTCTTGTATGCATAGAAATCTTTAAATAAAGATTAAATCTTTTAAAAATTTAAAATAAAATAATAACAAAGAGAGCTGTTAAAAGCGCTAAACCTCCCACCTGTACTGGGAGTGAACAGCTGCCTTACTTGAACAGGGTCAGTGAGTCCAATACCCACTGCATGGCTACCATGAAAACAGTCTAGAGAAGACACGGTTTACAATCATTTATCTCCCAGCTCTTCATTCCCACCTATTTCTTCTGGGAGGTCAGATACTTGAGGGCACTGCTGGGAAATAGACACTATTCTAGGTAATGCCACGGAGCTGTGGGGCCACTACAAAGGGTTCATCAAGGCTGTCGTTTTTCCTAAAAAGATGTCCCCAGGTATCAAAGATGATGATGGAAGCCAGCATCTCTCAGTCAAGCCCACACGAACACCTGCAGACCGGGGAGTGACCGCAATTGACTCAGAAGCTCTCTAGGGGCCTGAGAATCTGCATGTCAGAAGCTCCCTGGTGATGCCTGCTTCTGGTCTGGATGCCCCGCCCTGGAGCAGCAAGGTCTCAGCCGCTTTCCAGAATGCTGCTCCCTCCCTGGCCACTGTCTGGGTCCTGCCTCTGGGGTTGCCACACACTGTCTAATTCAGCCTCAGGAATAAAGCCACGCTCCACTCAGCACCCAATTTCTTCTTTAGTCTTTATTTAATTTGTAGGCTTCTGGGACCATCCCTAAGACACCTATTATTCCAAGGGCCTGCTTTCTCCAAGTTATGGAACATAGAAGGGGCCAACAGCTTCCTTCAGCCTCAGAAGGTTGTGATTTAGCAGCAGCAGCAGCAGCAGCAAAAAAAAAAAAAAGAAAATTTAAAAGTGCCTTCAAGTTTAAAGCCCCCGTTAGTATATATTCAGGAGTGAGCTTATCCACGGCATCCTCAAAACAGTGCACATCGTAATCAAAGGTGACAAGAACATGCGAGCTCTCTTCTGAACTATTACCATTGTTGTTAGCAACACTTTACACGGTCAGACACAATGGGGTATTAAAGAAGCAGCGGTGACTGGGACAAGTTTTCAGTGAAGACCTGAGTGTACGCCAAGTACCTAAAACACTCATGGAGATGAATGACAGTGCATATCCAAAATGATAGGCAAATCAGATAGAACTCAAATACCTACACTTTCATTCCAAATTGTCCCCTTAGGATTACATTTCCTGTTGAATACTCCCCCCCCAAATTCCTTTGTTTTGCCATATTGGTAACCATCTATAGTTGTTCTGAAAAGGACTGCACATTTTACCATCCACCATTCCTGCTTCTACATGATTTATTTTTACTAGAAGAGGTTTTGTCAAAAAAAAATGCTATCAAGTTCTACAGTATGTCATTGTGGTTTAGCATCATAAAATGTAGCCTCTCCATTTATCAACCTCAGATACCTGTTGACCACAACGAAAGGCTCTACTATGAAAATTCTGTTTTGAAGGGAGGAAAAAGCAAGCCTGCTCTTAAAAAAAGGAGCCTTCATTTGTATGTGGATGTTGATCTACTACATCTCAACAACAGGATCAAGGTCACACCTAATTTCTACCATAAACATGTCTCTCTTTCCCATCTTTCTATTAAGTGACTTGGTGCACAAGAGTTACCCCCTGCAGTTCTTTCAACCAGAAAGGAAAAATCTAGATACTTTTTTTCACAAAAAATATGAAATAGTAAAACTGTTCAATTAGTTTTACTTTGGTTTCAAAATGATCCTTTTGGAGTCTGGAAGTCCCTACCTCTTTGGTTACGGTAGTTTAAAATAAAACCACCCACTTAACCAAATATTTAACAACAATACTCTTTGTAAATTCTTCCAGAATTACTAAACATTTGATGACATGGGGGTCTCAAAAAACAAACAATTCACAGGGTATTTTAATTCTAGACACTTTGGCCTAGTAGGATCATATATTCACATCAGCCTACTTTTCTAGGCCCTTCCCCCTGTTGGCCCCTTAGTGTCAGCATACTTTGCACATGACGGTCAAATGCGTAACGAGCTTCGTGACATCGACCCACTCGTAGTCATTTCAGGCTTTCTGCACCTGGTAGGTCCCTTAGAATAATGTTAATAATTCTCTCCAGACACGATAAACGAAGGCACTGAATTGCATCCTTTTTCTCCTTCTGCTTCAAACAAAAACATTAGACCGGAATGAGTCCTCTCTTACCTCTGCATCCAGGAGTGACCTGAGACAGAAGGTGTGTCTCTGATAATTCTCAACTTTCGTCCTGGCGCCCCTCCCCCCCCCCCCCCCAGAGAACCACGCGCAGAGCAGAACCTCACTGCTTTGTGACCTAAGCTCTCTCTAGCCCGGTACCAGCAAAGAACCATCTCACGCAGATGCTTTAAAACTACCGGGATCAATCACTCCAACGAGAGAGGGTGCAAGCAAATCCACAGTCAAGAATCTGTTCTTCTCTGCTTTCTACAGATACCACAGATTCAACTTTTTTTTTCCAGCAAAGGAGGCCACAAAACAGTAAGGATTCAAGGTAGTAAAAAAGTAACAGATCCTCAAGTTCCAGCAAACTTGAAAATCACACACCAGATACAGAAACGGAACAGAGCACGCAGCGCAGGCACTTCTGCCACCAAGGAGCGACGAGACCGTCACCTGGGCTGAATATTCTTCAGGACTCTGGGTCACAGTCCCCAGGCGTGTGGCACTCGCAGCAGGGGAGCCCCGGGATTTCTGCCAAGTCAATTCACTTCTTTACAAACACAGATAACTGTCCAGGGAAAGGGGCGACCTTGATTTTCCTCTCTGGGTAAACTTTACCAGGTGAGGTGGAAGAGGCCCTTGGTCCTCTCTGTTCTTCCAACTGGGTGGCCCCTAAATTTTACTGCAAAGACTCCCCCAGGGAGCTTGTTGAGGAGACAGCCTGCAGGGGCCCAACCTGGGGCCCAGGAGGAGAGTCATCCTTGAAATCTCTGATTGCAACGGCGGCGCAGGCCAGGTGAGGATGATGCTAGGGGTCCCTGCACCACCAGTTTGCGAAACCCTGAAGGGTACCATGCTCCTGGGGAGCAAATGCTGGATCTCTGACCCTCAGTGGCCGGCAAGCAAGAAAACCATTTTGGGCAGCAAGAATGACCCACTGGACGGGATGGCCCGGAGGAGCTCTGCCCCGGGCAAGAGACAGGCCCCAACACCCCTGATTTCATTTCCCTGGCTCAGCAGCCTCCCCTGGACCCACAAGCCCCCCTCCAGGCCCACCACCGCGGCGCGGCCCCCACACTGACCCTCCACCGCACGCGCACCTACCCAGCCTCCGTTATCCTGGATCCAGGTGTGCAGGTGCCGGTTCAGGTACTCGGTCATCCACAGGGCGATGTTGTCCACCAGGGGCGACATCTCCCGGTTGACGCTCTCCACGCACATGACCCCACCGAACTCAAAGAAGGCCACAATCCTCCCCCAGTTCACCCCATCCCTGAAGAGCTCCTCCACCACCGTGGCAAAGCGTCCCCTCGCGGTGAAGGGCGTCAGGTGCAGCTGGCTGGACATCTCGGCGAAGTCGCGGCGGTAGCGGCGGGAGAAGTCGTCGCCGGCCTGGCGCAGGGTCAGGTGGACCACAGGTGGCACCGGGCTGGGCGCGGGCCCCGCGGCGGCGCCGGGGGCGGCCGGGGGCGGCGGCTGCGAGGTCCTGGCGAGCGCGGGCGGGCGCCCCGGCCGCGGGGAGGAGAGGCCCGCTGCGGGGGCGGCCCCCGGGGGCGCGGCGCCCCCCTCTCCGGCGTCCCACTCGTAGCCCCTCTGCGCCAGCTTATAGTGGATGTACTTCATCACGATCTCCCGGTTGTCGTACCCTGTTCTCCCGGCGTGCGCCATCCTGCCCGCGGGCGAGCGGCCGGGGACCAGCAGCACCTCGCGCCCCCGCGCGCGCCCCGCGGCCCCGCAAGGAACAAGAAGGCTTATAATCCAGCTATTTTATTGGATGTGCTTTGCATTCTTGGATGAGGGGGTGTCTTCAGTCACGCGGAACACTCGATTCTGGTGTTTCCCTGTTGGCATGAGCTGCAGGAAATTTTTATTTAAAATCCTGGCGGATCTTTATTTCATGAGGCACATTATGATTAAGGACTGTTCATATCGCTCGACTTCCTCCGAGATGCTGAAAGGTTAAAAACAAAAACAAAACAAAACACCAGTAAGTCAAAATCAGGTGCATTTGCCCTTCCAGACCGGGGGGCGAAGCGAGTCACACACACTCCAAGTCACACGGCTACAGAGCCTGTTACTCCACTGCCTGGAAATGCAACTTACTCGAATGCACTTAAAGTTACAATCGCAAATGTTTCCATTGAAAGTTACATGAAACCAGTTTCCTGCGCAAAGAACTTACTTGTAATTTTTAGGGACAGCATGATCCTCTGTCAAGTTTCCTTTATTATTATTATTTTTTTTTTTTTTGCAAGCAAAACAAATGCATAAGGCAAAAATTCCACCGATCTTCAGAACTCCGCTGAGAGCTGCTGTGAAACTTCCAAAATGAATCGGGAGGGCGGGGTGGGGGGCAAAGCCACGGCGCGCGTCCCGGGGGCTGCCCAGCCTGCTCCTCCTGGGAAGTGTCAGTCCGCGGGGATCCCAACCGGAGGTCTCCGGAGCGCGAGGGGGCCACAAGGCAGCGGCGGCAGCAGCTGAGTCACAATGTCCAGCCCGGCATCTGCAGGAGTCCTGCGGCCCTCGCTCCCGCGGCGACCCCCACGCGCACGCACCCGCGCGGGCACAGACATGGATGGTGCCCGGCACCGCTTCGCGCCTGCGGGGCGCGGGCCGGGGCGCGGGCCGGGGCGCCGGCGGCCGCGGGGGCAGGAATCCGCCTCGGCTGCAACTCCGCGGCGCGAGCCTCCCCGAGGAGCCGCCGGCTCGATGCAGCAGGACGCGCCCGGCCGCGGGCGCAGCGCGCGAGGAGCCCGCGCCGTGTGTGGCGCGGCGAGGGGTGGGGAGCGGCGTGGGGGAGGGCTTTATTTTTTCCCTCTTTTCCTAAAAAGGATGACGGCTCCGGAGGGCTCCCCCCCGGACCCCCTCTTCCGCTGCACCCCACCGGCGCACCCGCCTCCGGGCCGCGCGCTCTTCCTCCTCCTCCGGCTCCCGCGCCGCGGCGCTGGCGGCCGCAGCCTCCCCGCTGCCCGCGCTGCCGCGACCCGCTCCGGGGAGGGCCGCGGGGAGGGCCCGGCGCCGGCACCTTCGCGGGCGGCGGCGGGGGGGCCGGCGCGGGCGCGCGCGCGGCGGGGCGGGCGGAGGAAGGGGGCGGGCGCGGGCCGGGGGGGCCTGGCCTCTTACTTCATTCTCCTCTAACCGCCCGGTTTCCTGTCGTACGTCACACGGTTCATTCAAAAAAAGAAGAAAGAAAGAGCCCTCCTCGCGGCCGCCCGCCGCCCCCCTCCGCCGCGCTCCCCGGCCCCGGTTAAAGGCGCCGCGGCCGGGCCGGGGGCGCGGGGCGCGCGGGGCCGGGGGTGCGCGCGGGGCGCGCGGGGCCGGGCCGGGCCGGGGCCGGGGCGGGCCCGGGCGGTGGGTGGCGCGCCCGGCCGGGCCTCCCGCGCGGCTGCGGCGCGGTGGGTGTGCGCGGGGCCTCCTCCGGCCTGCGGCGGGCCCGGCGCGCGCTCGGGGGCCGCGAGGGCCGGGGCGCCCCGGGGGGCCGCGCGCCGCCGGGCGGGCGGCCGCATGGTGGGCGCCCCGGGGCCGCCGGCGCTGGCGGAGCCCGGGAGTCGCTTTGATCTTTTCCGACCCGGAGAGCGAGCGCGGGTGCGTGCGCGCGGGTCCCTTTCCACCCCGGAGAGCGTGTGGGCGAGCGTGCCCGCCTTCCAAGCCGGTGTGGATGCGCGTGTGTGTTCCGTTCCACCCGAAGGCGGGTGGGCGGGTGGGTGGTGTGAGTGTGCGTTCCTTCTTTCTGGCCGTGTGTGTGCGCGCGTGCGCGTGTGTCTGTGTGTGTGAGTGTGCGCGCGCGCGCACGCCGTGTTTCCAGCGCCCGGCCACCAGGGAGAGGACCGAGACCAGTGCTCTCCCTGGCTGGGGGACCTCACCCCGAGCGTGGTGTTTACTTTCAAGTTGCTGGCTAGGTGTCCCCGCAGAGGACACCCGAGGGAGGCACCAGCCGTGCCCGAGGCCAGCCCCAGCGCTCGGCGGGCCTGTGGAGGGGCGGTTGGGGCATGTCAGAGGCTTCTAAACGGTTGAGTAAATGTTTTTCCTCTGCTGCTAGCAATTTCGGCATCTGGGATGGGGCTGGACGCTGTGGAGGGCTCCAGGGCAACGTTCAGGCCCCAGTCCTAATAGCAGGGTGGGTCACTTTCCAGAGGCCTCCAGGGTCACCTGGCAGCCAATCCCAGCCAGCTGTGCCATCTCAAGTTAAAGATATGTGCGCTTACACACACACACACACACACTCTCTGCACATATTGTGTACCCGCAAGAACACTTTTTTAATGCATCAGCATGAATACCCCCTAGGAGAAAAGCACAAGAGGGCAAACACATTGCATGTGTTGGACTATTTTTATCTCTAAGAGTCTTTGACAAACAAAGAGCCAAGAAAAAAATGTTTTCTCAAAGCACAGCCGCTTACTTAATAGGGTTCAAGTACAAATATATAGGGACACTGGATTATCACGGTCATAAAAACACGACAAAAGAATCCTGCAGTGTGTGCCAGTATATCCTGACCCTATCTGTAGTCTGTCCTCTTCCTTCTCTACAATCAAAGCGAAATAAGCACACCAATTATTTTTATTTCTTCATCTATGGCCCCCTATCACCCAAGGTGCCTAGCTCTTGCTAGGGGATGGATACCTGGTACAAATTTCTTAGGGAGGCAAGAGAGCGGGAAAATGCTACCTCTGCCTTCTCATGGCTGTGGCAGAGCCCCTTTTATCTGTGGTAATGGCAGGTGTGTGTCCTGGCCTCAAGATGGACACTGGGGGCCTTCCTGGTGGCGTAAGAGGTGAAGCACTGCACTATGAAGCAATCCACAGCCTCTGCAGCACGAGTTCGATCCCTGGCCTGCCAGGGAGCAACCCACATGGCGCAGCAGACCTCTCCTGACTCGCCCGCTGCTCCCCTCTGCAGAGTATTTCGGTCAATCTGCCTATTTTGTTCCCCACTCTGTCTCTGGTGGATCCTCTCACCCCCCCACCCCCCGCATCTCTGGCCTGTACCCCAGCTCTTGAATGCATAAATAAATAAATTTTAAAAATATATAAGGGCACTGGGTATAGACTGATCTGGGATGTATGTTCTCCCGGATGTAGACACTGTGCTAATGCCACAGCACTATGGAGTCAGGATCTTCCCAGGACCTTGTCCTAAACCCCCCAAATCACTAAGAGGAATCGAAAGCCTTGGTGCTTTTGAGACCCAGCACGTGAGTGAGGAAATGAGAGAGATGGAAAAGAAATTGTACTTCTGCAAAGACAGTGGTTAGAAAGAAACGGACCCCCGTTCCCCAGGGAAAAAAGCTTTCCTATTTTCCCCCTTCCCGGCTCCCAGAGAGTCTCGCTTTACACACTGATTCCTTATGGGGCATCTTGACTATCACCAAAGCGTCAGGACAGGTCTGCATTACAGGCCGTGGGAATGTTCTGGACACTCTTTCCAGGGAAAGAGTGAAAGAAACCATGCCCTCATTCAGATTCCGTGTTTGTTAGATTCCACGCGAGGCATGCGGGAAGGCACTTGGTGGGATGTGAAGTCCTTGTCTCTGGGCTTCTGTGAGGTCATGGCCGGAGCCCGGCCTGAGTCAGGGGTTCTGGGTTTGAATCCTTGATCTTGACTGAGACCTCCCAGGAGCCTTCGAGGAGCGCACTGTGGGTTTTCACGGCCCAACTTGTCTTCCACTTTTCGGAGCCCATGGATGCCTCTTGGCCAGCTTGGCCTGGCTGGATTCTAGGAGTAGGGTGGCAGCAGGAAGAGAAAAGAACACGCCTGCAGGGAATGGAGAGTCTATTGAATCTGAAAGGCCTGTGTTTTCCTTCTTGATTCGCCAATCCACCAAACAAAAAGCTTTTATTGCCAGTTTTCGCCACCTACTGGTTGATGGTTAACAGTAAAATTCAGAAAGTTCTCTTCCTCTATCGCCCAATATAAATGTTCCTGAAGTTTATGAAAATCAAAAAAGACATTCTAATCTGCATGTGCTAATGTCTAATATAGGTACATATGAAGTCTTGCTAATTTATTAAGCTTTTTTATTTGAAATAAATATAGAAAGACATCATTAACTGAGAGGGAACTGACGACTAATAAGTCAAATAAAAGAGTTAAAAAATAGCAAACATGGGCCTCCCTGGTGGTGCGAGGGGTTAAGATGTAGCACGATGAAGCAATCCACAGCCACTGGAGCACAAGTTCTATCCCTGGCCAGGGAGGTGACCCACATGACACAGCAGACCTCTCCTGTCTTGCCTGCTGCTCCTCTTAGCAGTGTATTTCTGTCATTCTGCCTGTTCTGTTCCCCACTCTGTCTCTGGTGGATCCTCCCACCCCCTGCACCTCTGGCCTACACCCCAGCTCTTGTATGCATAGATAAATAAATCTTTAAAAAAAAATAGCAAACATGACCCTAAAGCATTGAGGTAAACGGACGTGGAAATAAATCCGCAAACAAAACCGACATTATAGAGAGAAGCAAATAAGTAACCCATGTAAATTGCTTAAGAGGAAAATGAACTTAGGAAAAGGTTATATAAGTGAACTTAAAAAATGGCATCTCACGGGCCTAGATATGCTATCAAAACACTAATTCCCAATTTTGAGTATCTTCTTTATTCTATCAAAATATAATTTTATCTAACCTTCTGTAAACTTATCTAAATGAATGAACAATGATGTAAAATATATAAATAAAAAAATAAGCTTATCTAAATATGAATCACTTAAGCATCTTACACATTATAAACTCTTAGTAACTAGTACCACAATTCTTTCAGATCACGTCATACTTTGTTGGCAAACATTACATCATTATTAAATAAATACTAACGCCTGATTACTGAATCTTTTATGATTCGGAGCCTTTTTGCTGCAAAAGAGAGATTGCATCCAAGTGATCTTCTGGGTGCTCTCAAACCATCCTTGTCATCGTCAGGAAATTCTTCTGCCAAATCTACACCAACTAGCCTTGCTCTAATTTAGAAACCTGATCAATTTATGGAGGGTCCTAAACCTCAAAATAATGTTTACATTAAGCAACAGCCTTTGAAACTAGGCATTAAGCTGCAGATAAATCATTCTGGAGTGCAAGTTTATAGGCAAAAAAATGTTTACTTTTGGTTAACACAGGGCAATTCACTGGTGGAAATTTTTCCTTTCAAATTAATGGTTTGGCATTTAAAGTAAAAATAAACTAAGAGAAGGAACTAATATTTTCTAATGCTTGCTGTTCTCGTTGGATTGAAACTGCGGTAACAGACCCAAACAATCACAGTATTGAAGGGGAATAGATAAGGAATGAACATTTAAGGGGCAACAACTTTTATTCTCTCATGCTCCTGAGCACAGAGCACTGTATCTCCCAGATATTAGTTGCTGATGAACACATTTAGAAAGATCAATGTTTGTTTGCATTGAACTGCTATGACAAAATACCACTAACTGGGTGCCTTGAGAACTGGAAGTCTAAATTCAGGGGGTTGACAGGGGCACCACCCACCACTCCTGCCCCTACCCCTGCCGGCTCCAAGGAGAACCTCTCCAAACTTTCCCTGGTTCTTCCAGCGTCCGGTGGTGGCCATCTGTCCTGGC